CAGAGACCCAATTTCTGAGGATTTCACAAATTTAGAAGAGAACACCTTCCTCCCCGCCCTCCCACCCCCTTTCTATGCATTTTAAGCCTGTCCCAGTGCCTCGCCAACATCAGCTTTTCACAATAGAGAAAGCCTTCCACCCATCTCACAAGTGTTCTCAGGTGCACATAACGGCATTGAGGAAAGGGAGAGATTACCGCCTCTTTCTGTGGGTCCTGGAAACTGCACAGTGGACCAAGGGAAGTTCCTAAGACCTGGTGCGGTCCTCATCCACTCAGTCACTGCTCCGTGGAGGCCAGCTCAGGCGTGTGCCTTGTAAGGTTTGAACCCAAAACTCAGAGTAGTGGAGAAAGCCTGCAGATGCTTCCACCTGGGGGGACCTGCCGCTCCCATTCCACTTCTCACCTCGTAAAATAAAAAGGCCAGCCAGGGGGAGGCGGCTGAGCGGCACAGTAATAAATAAGCAGTGGACGCTGGCTCCGCACACTTGGAGAAGCAGCAATCAATAAAAACAAGCGGTCAGAAAGTATGGACTTCAGGACAAATGAGAAAGTTGGGAAGAAAAGTAAAGATGTGTTGTAGCGCAGCCTCCGGTGTTAGAGATGCGGTGGGTTTTGCCCACATGTTTACTGGAGGGAGGGTGGGAAGAACAACCTGATCAAGATGTGATTTTGGAAGATGCTCATTTGTTTAACTACTCCTTTAAAACACAAAAGAGTCTGATGATGGACAAGGCCCGGTGTGGCGGTGCATTCTGGTAACGCTGGCACTTAGCAGGCTGAGGCAGCAGGATGGCGCATTTGGGAGAGTTGTGGACCTGTAACCAAACCCCCAGTGTGCGCGCTCTTCATTTCCAAAGGAAATCACAAGTATCCGATAGCCAGTCAGGGTGGCTGTAGATCAACCAAAGCGCGTGCATGAGGAGAGAAGAGTGGGGAAAGAGAACTCTGCACCCTTGGCCGGCGTAACCTGCTTAGATGGAGAGATGAAGCAGATGGTTTTCAGGAATGCCGAGTGAAGCTGTTGGGTCAGGAACCAGATCTCACAGGGTTCAAGTCCTGCTTCTCCCGCTGGGTTCATAAATGTGCTGCCTTCTATAAATGACTCCTATCACCTTGGCTACATTTGCCAAATGGGGACATGGAGCCGTGAGACTCTAAGAAGTGCTGCATTACAGGCACTCAGCGCAGGGCTGGCATGTCATGTCAGGAGAGGTAGCCATTGCTAACATACGTGAAACTAGCTAACTGTAGAAAAGAGAAACATGAACTCATGCAGCGATATAAATAATTCATCATTAAATACAAACAAGATGGAAATGTCTTCTGGGGGAAAACGACATATTACTGAGGACAGACAGTGTGCTGCCCATAGCTTCTATAGTAAACCAGGTCAGTCTTCAGTAGCTTCTTAGAGTTCTTGGATGCCAGGGAAAGATGAGGAGCCATAGTAACTATGAGGTTGGATATTTTTAAAGAATGTCTTGTGTATTGATCCTGGTGTCTTCATAGGAGATGTGTTTATATTCATTGACAAAGACCAAAAAAAATTTTAATGAAATTCTTGACTGAATAATTTGTTGGAATGCATTTGTACATCTTTGACAGTAGTAATCGTTGAAATATGGCAAAGTCTTCATTTTGACAGTTTAAATCCCTTAAGCGAAAACGACTCTAGGAAAATACCAACACAATCTATGCTCTCATGGAGCTTCCCCCATAGCTCTATCAGAATTGCAGAGTTAGCCTGGAAGCTCAAATTTCCAGACTAATGTGTTGTTGTGCTGGGATTTTACAGTATGGAATATTTTTGTTTTCGATTTTGTGTGTGACAAGGTCTTGCTATAGAGCCCATACTGACCTCAAATTCACAGTCCTCCTGCCTGAGCTGCCTAGTGCTGGGATTATAGGTAGGAACCACCGTACCTTTCCTCTAGATTATACTTTAGTTTATAAAAACTCGTATGGCTGCAGTAATTGTAGCCTACTTCTTTACCCACAAAAATCCACAGGGCTGTGTTATTCACAGAACACGGGCATGTTAGGATCAAGGATATATTTCTTCAGAGAACGCTGTCTAGGCCCCCACACAAAAGCATGAAACTCAATTGCAAGTTGGATCTTGCCTAGAGAGTCCCTTTATATAGTAGACTGCATGCCCGGTCTGACTCTCTGGGGCTTGAACTCATCGCTTCACTCACTCGACTTCCTTGAGCCGCACCGCCAGCCCCCAAGACTCCCATAGCGCCCCACTGTTGCATCAAAATGGCCATCCAGTCTTTGTAGGGTTCTGAGGAATCTGCACCTACTCTGCAGAACTTTTCATAGGAAGGAGACAATTCTGCTGTACCTGCTTCTCTTCGGCCCGTTGGCAGCGGCTTTAGGGTGTAGGGTTGGCGCGCTGTCTGAGGGAGCCTTCCCTTGCTCTCACACTATCTCAGTTGCTCTGTCTTTTCCTGAAGAAGGGCTCATGACCTGCCCGGGGACTAGCAAGGTGACAG